ATAAATAAATAAAAATAATTATTTTAATATTTTAAACAATATATTTCATAATTAATAAACACTAATGTTATATTTGGTTAAGATTTTGGATTTTGGATTCGAATATTTGGAATAATAAATTTTTTAATTTGAATAATTATTTGATATAATATAGTAATAAATATTGATGTTCTGAATTTATAATTGATTTTATAATTTAAATAAAAATTAAGAATTTGATTTGATATTATTAAAAAGAAAAAATCTACTAAATACAAAAAAATAATAATTTATATTTGAAATAACTACAATGATAATTTATTACAAATAATTCAAATTTATATTTATATACTTTTTTATTTTTAGTATTTTTACAAATACTTGCATCAATAATTTGTTTAAATATAAAAATTATTTGAGTTAAAATTAATCTATATTTATTTTATTAATAAAATATTAAATAAATAAAAATATATCATCTTATACAATTATCATATCAATTAAATCCAAAATAAATAACTTTTAATGTGCTAGAAATTTTTTGGCATAATAGAGTATTATCTTTCACTCTATTCCATCCAATCAAATAAAGTCATCTACGACATTAAAATCAGACTTTATTTAATCAATTCATTTAAATGACTAGTATATCCTTATTTTAAAACATAATATTTTGTTTGTATACAATTGTAAAAATTAAAATAAAATCTTTTTTTTACAAAAAAAAAAAAAAAATACATAAAACGCAATATTTTTTTTTTCAAAATTTTTAAAAAATTGTAGAACATATAACATTTTTTTCTTATATTTTTTAAAAATTTGTAGGACATATATGTTGCAAATGTTATACTTTATTATTTATTGAAGAAGAAAACATCATCAAAACCAAGTCAAATTAAATAACCAATTTCACTCCAAAGAAACTACTATATGATAGAAAAAAAAAAAAAAAAAAACAAATAAGAAAATAATTCAAATATAAAAATTTTAAATATGTTTTAGATCCTGCACTTGTGTACAGTATAATCAAAATATGAAATAGAAAAATCAAATTTCATTATGAAAATAAATAGTAATTTAAATGGCACCAGGTCTTCGCTATCCAAGTGGTTTGAATCGTTGATATGTTTGAACCTGAATATTTATATATAAAAAAATATAATAAAATCCACTACCATGATAAATATATATACAATAATTAATAATAAATAAATACCAGAAGCAATTTAGTGAATTTAATCGGATATTGTAGTTCGTCGGAAAAATCAAATGGCATAAATTTATTTATCTGATAGTTTTGATACTGCAATATATAATTTATAATATAATACAAATTAAAGTATTACAAATATTTTTATCCAAGTACAATGTAAACTAATCTGTTGCGGTTGATGAATTTGATGAAACATTTCATATCATTGTTTTCGATAAATAACTTTTGTTTTAACTTTACTCTTATTTCCTCAGCTGTAGATGAATTCTTTTCATTTTCCTTCAAATAATGTAGGCTAGAGTTATCGGAAAAAATATTCATACTTTGCAACTTTGCATTAACTATTTCAAATATTTCCTTAAATCCATCTCTTACTATTTTGTATATTTCTTTTGTTTCAGCTGCTCTTGTAACAAGTTGATTAGAGATATTACATAGATCCTTATACTAGATTTTTTGCAAACACTTTTGAATCATCCTGAAATGTCAATACATTATAAAAATATTCAACCTTCGGTTTTCTAGTCCATCGTCTTAATATATATGAATTTGGAATCTTAATAATATTATATGAATCTGAAATCATAATAATACTATGTACAGTAAAAACTTTCAAAGTATGATAACACAATATTTCACAAAATTCAAATTTTCTACAACTACAATGTATCGTGCTATTCAAAGAGTCATAGTTGACAAAATGATATTTTGATTTTTCAAAAGATGTAATACGATAAATTAAAACACCTTACTTGTGAGATTTTGGTTTTGAATAGTAAAATTTTGAATTGAAATAGTTGTTTGATGTGATATAAATATGTATTGATGTGATGTTTTGAATGTAAAATTTAATTTTAGTGTAATATAATAAATAAAAAATATATGTTTGATTTGATGTTTTTGGGGAAAAATTTTTTTTGAATAGTGAAACGGAAAAACAAATCTCACAAGTAAACACACCCTAAAAAACATAAAAGATACAATCATAACTTTTGCACAATTCTTTTTTAAATAATTCAAATAATTCAGAGTATAGATATATGCGGCATATTTTAACAATTGAGTAGGAAAAGATAGTGCAAGAGTACTTGTATTTGCTCTAAAATAAGCTTTCAACTCCTCATAATGACGATTATCAATCAAAATTTGAAAATATTCAAAGAATTGACGTAAGCTACTTTTGTAATTGACGTACCTTTTAACCACGCTATTTATACTTTCGCCTCTTTGTGTCGTAGTGATGTCAGCACAAAAAGATTGACGACCATAAACCAATGCCCATTTTTCTTTTTTATTGAATAATCTTTTCAACCAATCATTATTTTGAAAATTATATTTTTTAATCATGTTATTCCATTCAATTAAAAAATCATCTTCTTCTTCAAAATCATATACGAACTTACTAAAATCATGAGCAAAATCTTTAAAGTTATCAAAAATTCCACCTAAATATTTAGTAGCATTTTGATATATATATATATACCAAATACATAACTTGTGGTATGTCTCTGGCCATTTAGAAGCTAAGGCTTTGGCCATTGTTGCATCTTCATCAACCAAAATAGTTGTTGAATTTTTACCTGACATGCTATAAGAAAATAAATCTAATATCTATTCAAATGTTGCAGTAGTTTCATCATATAAAAGTGTGCAATAAAAAATAACAGTTTGTTTGCGGTGATTCACACCAACAAACAATGCAAGACGATTTTGAGAATTCTTCTTATAAGTTGTATCAAAAGATATAACATCTCCAAATACAGCATAATCAACTTTCATTCTTCCATATATCCAAAATATATTAGTTATTGCATCATCCTCATCAATTTGAATTGAGTGAAAAAAAAAAAAAAAAAAATTGAATCTTTTACATCTAAATATTAAAGTTACTCCCCCGTATTTCCAATTTTCATATCCTTAGTTCTCTTTAAACGCAAATCATTTCTATAATCCTTTGAAGTAAATCATAAATTATGACCTGCTTGTTTGATCATATAATCATAAGATGCTTTAGGTGGAATACTTTCACTATCTGCTATTTCAAATTCAGTAGTTTGAGTTTCAATTATTTTTTTATATGATTTAAATAAGCAGATGTTCATCTGCACTAGATAAATAATGATTATTATTTGAAATAAATTTGACAATCTTATATTTTTCATTTTTATTCAAATGTATTTTCATTTTTTCCTAACACCCTAATCTAGTTTCGACACGCGAATTTTTAACATAAACATCTTGTTTATTAGATTTTTGTTTACCTTCAGAACAACAATAAAATATTCTATCAACAAGTTTATCATTTTTTTTTTGTATGAAATATGTTTTTTCTAACACTAAATCCAATCTATTTAACATATGCATAATAAAATTCTCTAGCCAAATTTTCATTATCAAATTTCATACATATTTGAGGAATTTATTCTTTTGAGATGAATTTATGCAAATTATAAAAATTAATATTATCAGAATCTAAACTACCCGATAATAATGAGATCATCACTTTCTTTGTTGATAACATGAATTTCCTACAACAAATATTAAATTTAATTTAGAATAAAATATAAAGCAGTTCGGTCAAAATAAAAAATACAATGAATATAAATATTAAAAACAATAAAATGCCTGGTTTTTTCTTCATTTGCATCAGATTAATTTGTTTCTAATATCTAATACAATTATATAAAAAAAATCCTATAAAGAAAATAAATTAATTAATCTAATATCATTTTTTTAAAAAGAAAAATCCTAAACAACAGCAGTATCATATAAAATTAATATAAAAGCATAAATTAATTAGTCTAATATTATTTTTTTTGAAAAAAAAAATCCTAAACAACAACAGTATCATATAAAATTACTATAAAAGCAATAACTTTTTGTAATAGAAATTCAAGTTGTAATTAATTTGAGATTTTTTATTTCTTCAGTTTGATTTAAAATATTTTTAACCCGTCTGATTTGATTAGAAGGAACAAAAAGCAACTAAACATAGAAATAAAATGGTACTCGAGGAAGAAGAGGTAGATGTCGACTCAGCATAAAAAAAAAAAAAATTCAATGACCGCAAACAAGAAAAAAAAAACGATAAGCAACAATGAAAATATTTAATGAGAGCAAACAAAAGATATAGTCAGAGATATATTCAACTGATCTAATAAATAAAAAATAAAGAAAGATAAAGAAACACTTATTAATGATTATTTTTGTTACAATAGTCATTTAAATAAATTGATTAAATAAAAGTTGATTTTAATGAATTAATTAAATAAAAAGTATTATTATATATGGCTTTATTGAATTGGATGAAATAGAAAGGCACAACAAAAACCGGAACAGAAATTTAAATCCTTACAACAGTATATTTGGAACTTAGTTTGAAGAGCACAGTCCTCTCAACCCTCGTCAAGTTCGGATCCCATATTGCTTTAAATTATACAAGCATGCAAGCCGCAACTTCTAATTCGTGATAATTATAATTCAAGACAATATCGTCTGTTCAAAATTTCAAACGAATCCCAATATAGATAGATAGTATATGTGTAATTGGGGATAAGACAGAACTTATCAGCCACCTCATTAATGGCGATCCCCAACGTACCGCGCCGTCTCTCCTTCTCCCTTGATTACGTCCGTGATTACGTAAGCGCGCGCACGAATACATACAGACATGCATATATAGATAAGACTAAATTAAAAAGATGAAGTGGATTCATGAATTGAATAATGAATATATATATATTAATTTTTTGGGTTTTGTTTTCCTTATCTCTTGGCATCGCATCTTACTTACTATAAATTCAGGCACTTGCTCTCCCTCTTCTCATCCTCCAATTTATTGTATAGAGGGCCATATATCATTCAATTCCATTTTTATCGGAATTAATTATTACCAATTTGTCTTAAAGAGGAGTTCTAACCATGTCTGCATCTTTCTCTGTCCCTTCCATGGTGAGTGTGTGTGTGTAATGATTAATTAATAAATTAAAGGATTCTTCTTGGAGTTATTATAATTAATTAACTGGGAATATGTTGTTGAATTGTTTTAAATTACATACAGATGATGGAGGAAGAAGGGAGATTCGAAGCAGAAGTGGGCGAGGTGCAAGCATGGTGGAACTCGGAGAGATTCAAGCTGACGCGCCGCCCATACTCCGCCCGCGACGTGGTGGCCCTCCGCGGCAATCTCCGGCAGTCGTACGCCTCCAACGAACTCGCCAAGAAGCTTTGGCGCACCCTCAAAACCCACCAGGCCAACGCCACCGCGTCCAGGACCTTCGGGTCCCTGGACCCCGTCCAGGTCACCATGATGGCCAAGTACCTCGACACCATCTACGTGTCCGGTTGGCAGTGCTCCTCCACCCACACCACCTCCAACGAGCCAGGCCCGGACCTCGCCGACTACCCCTACGACACCGTTCCTAACAAGGTGGAGCACCTCTTCTTCGCCCAGCAGTACCACGATCGCAAACAGAGGGAGGCCAGGATGAACATGTCCCGGGACGAGAGGTCCCGGACCCCCTACGTCGACTACCTCAAGCCCATCATCGCCGACGGGGACACTGGCTTCGGCGGCGCCACCGCCACCGTCAAGCTCTGTAAGCTCTTCGTGGAGCGCGGCGCCGCTGGCGTCCATATCGAGGACCAGTCCTCCGTCACCAAGAAATGCGGCCACATGGCCGGCAAGGTCCTCGTCGCCGTCAGCGAGCATATTAACCGCCTCGTGGCGGCGCGTCTGCAGTTCGACATCATGGGCGTTGAGACCGTCCTGGTCGCCCGCACCGACGCCGTCGCCGCCACTCTCATCCAGACCAATGTGGATTACAGGTTTGGGTGTAATCCACATTTTCTAACTTGTTCAAAAAATATAATAATTAAATAATCTAAAATATAATGTGGGGATTACAGGGACCATCAGTTCATACTCGGCGTCTCCAATCCAGCCCTCCGAGGGAAGCCCCTCGCGACGGTCCTGGCGGAGGCCATGGCGGCCGGAAAAACAGGGGGCGACCTCCAATCCATTGAGGACAACTGGCTCGCCATGGCTAAGTTGAAGACATTCTCGGACTGTGTCGTCGACGCCATTAATGCTACGAACATCGGAGAAACCGAAAAACAGAGGAAGCTGAACGAATGGATGAACAATTCCAGCTATAACAAGTGCCTGTCCAACGAGAAAGCTCGGGAGATTGCCGACAGGCTCGGACTGGCGAATCTTTTCTGGGATTGGGACCTGCCGAGAACCAGGGAAGGATTCTATAGGTACTAACTACATAATTGATTGATTAGAGGTGTATTGTATGTATGTCATTGTCATTGTCAAGAGTTATTACATCATTAGACACCAATTAAGCATTAGCTACTACCCAACAAATCAATCAATCAATCGTCATGACTTGTTTATGAATGAATTAATTAATTAGGTTCAAGGGTTCAGTGAATGCGGCAATTGTCCGTGGGTGGGCCTTCGCGCCACACGCCGACCTAATCTGGATGGAGACGTCGAGCCCTGACTTGGTGGAGTGTACGGAGTTTGCACGGGGCGTGAAGTCAATGCAGCCGGAGACAATGCTGGCCTACAATCTGTCGCCATCGTTCAACTGGGATGCGTCGGGGATGTCAGATGAGCAGATGGTGGAGTTCATTCCGCGGATAGCCAAACTGGGGTACTGCTGGCAGTTCATCACGCTGGGGGGGTTCCACGCGGACGCCCTCATAGTGGACACCTTCGCAAGGGACTTTGCCAAGCGGGGAATGCTGGCGTATGTGGAGAGAATCCAGAGGGAGGAGAGGAAGAATGGGGTGGATACATTGGCTCATCAGAAATGGTCGGGCGCCAACTACTACGACAGAGTTCTTAGGACTGTCCAGGGAGGGATCACTTCCACTGCCGCCATGGGAAAAGGCAAATCCATCAATACAATTAATTATATTGTATTTCCTTCCATTCCATTCCATTTCATTTCATTTCTTTCTTGCAGGGGTGACCGAGGAGCAATTCCAGGAGACATGGACGAGGACAGGAGCAAACGATGTGACCACTGATGGCAGCGTTGTCATGAAATCAAGAATGTAGTCAAGGAAGGAAGCTAGAATCTGTGTGTAATAAGAAAAAACAAAGAAAAAAAGGGGACTTACTATTTGATTTCCGTAATAACTAAGAATGTAATGAACGACTCACTGTTATTGGAAAGAAGAAATAACAGGCAGCTTTATTCTGGGATTTTGCTGCCAGAAGAGCTGCTGCTGTTGTTTTTAGTCACACTGCCAAAAAATAAAAACAAGAAATGAAAGAAACAAGAAAAGCTAGCACCACACACACACACACACACACATACATATATATATATATATATATTGTTTCAATTAAGCCCTCTTCTTTCTGCTAAGAACCGCAGGTCTTTTGCCGATGATGATGTTCTTGTCCGAACAAGGGGACGACAATGACAGCAGACCACGTAGCAACGCTACAATGGCGAACCCAAGAAACGGGAAGTACATTTGTAAGAGCTTATCGGAGGCTCGGTTGGACAAGGAGAGCTCTGTTAGTATGGCCACCTGAAACCAATCCAAACAGTTCAGACACTCTGAAAATGTAATGTAGTGAATAGTGATCAGGGAAATAAATAAATATATGAACTTGTGTGAAATTAAACAAGAAATTGCGAAACCAGAAGGTTAGTACATACAAATTCTAATTCAACAACAATAATTGTGCAACTAGCTAACCCCGAACTGAATCATTTATAACCCCACCGATAACAAATCAAATATAAATGAACAACACATAATGTAACACCCCGGAGGCTCAAACCGGAGTGTCACCGCCACGCCACACCGGAAGGCTCATTCATCAACCAACGAGCCCGACATTGTGGCGCTAAAGCTAAAATAACCATTACAAGCAACTAATTAGAGATTTAAAATTAACGCGCACCGGCTTATCATTTAAATAAATAAAGTTCGAGTCAAAAGTATAACTAAGAAATTAGCTCAAAAAGATTAGTTCTTAAACATTAACAATGAATTTCAAAAGTATTTTAGAAAATAAAGTATTTATAATTCTCCCCAATTGATCATATGCCGTAGATGCATCATTTAGGTATAATAAAAGCATCATCACCTATAAAAAATTAGTAAAAAGAAAATCAACACAACGGTTGAGTAACCGCAATTAATCAAAGATATATTAATACGACATAAGTCATGATTTACGTGTAAATGCCACAAAATCATTTGAATGAGATAATTTGTATAAAATGTCACATATCATATAAGGATAACTCACACAAAGAAGTCTTTTAGCGTCTCCCTTGTATCTCTTTTTTTTTTTTTTCTCAAATAATAGTGATGAACACATAACAAAGAAAACTCCATTAGACTTTAATTAGGGCCGGCTCGACCCGATTTTCCAATCTTATTATTTCGTATGACACGTCACATGATTACACATAACAAACATAAGGTCATAACCCTCAAGAAAAGCTCCACAATATGTACCTAAGAGTTCGAAGCCCAAAGTATGCATAAGTCAATTTTATTTATTACTTTGCAAGGGCACCAAACAATCCACAACCCTCTAGTATCCAATATAACATATCAAGAGGGAATTGTACGCAATTCATCCCTCCATCACGAATGATGGTCTAAAAACCTTTTCATCGTAAATGACGGGTACCGCAGAATCACCCAAAAAGGAAACCCGCCATCTCGATCCCTCAGCCTAGCCCATTCGGGTTCTAGTTCGAGGTTAGCTAGTTATCCTAAAGTACCGGTATACCCTCACGTGTTTGCAAGGCACAGAGGTGGAAGACTATGTCTTATCATCCAAACAATCGACGAGTAGATTAGACTCAACGGATAGTTTCATTTAACAATTTGACCCAATACTCAATTTTAAAAAACATTTTCAACTCAACATTCCAATGACAACATTTAACCAAGAAAAAAGTAGTGTGTTAAAAATCTAACTTGTTTAATAATATATCACTTTATTTCGTCAAATAAACATTTGGACAATACGTTCATCCAAATAGCATAATTTAACTCCAAAAATCATAATATTTAAGATAATCACATATTATTTCTCCAAAATTCGTAAACTAGGTAAGGGCAAAATTAGGGTTTCTAACCCATTTCACAAATTATTCACTTTCCTACTTAAATTACCGTAAAGATTTTCCTATAAACCCTAAATATTATCCCAATAAACTTCCTAAAGGGAATATAGAAAAATCTAATATTTTAAAACAAACCCATTTAAAAATCATTTCAAAGAAACAACAAAGAATCAACAAATAGGTTTAGAAACTATAACATATTGATTATTTAAAATTAATCCCACTTACTTTATGAGAAAATCCCAAGTTGAAGAGTTTTGGAAAAGAAAACTTCCAAGGAAGAAGAGGAAGATGCTGGGCGGGGGCTGGCGGGAGGTAGGGCTGTTGCCATTTTTTTTTTTAAAATAAACATAATAGACTTGGGTCTTTTTAAATCATAGGGTCCAAAATGGGCTAAATCAAAACCCTTTGACTATAACACTTAAATTAAATCCATGAACTCTTAAAATAAAAATATCACATAAGCCCAAAATAAATTAGGCCCAAAATTAAATTTGTCCGACTCTGGCTCGGATTCCGGCAAGTTCCGGCGAACTTCCGGTGATTATTTCTGTGGGGTATTACATCCTCCCCCTTAGGGCATTTCATCCTCAAAATCGACCTGCATGCCCGGAGCTACCTCAAACAGCTCCGAATACTTCTCTCGCATTTCTTGCTCAATTTCCCATGTCGCTTCTTCAATTTCATGCTGCGACGACACTACTTTCACCATCCTTATCTCACAGTTCCGCATCGATCAAATTTTGAAGGCCACAATCTAAATAGATTGCTCCGAGTACACCAAATCCTCCTGAAGATCCAAAACTTCCGACTGAAGTACATGAGATAAATCACATATCTCCTCAATTGAGAGACATGAAAAACATCGTAAATATTATTCAATGTCTCCGGCAAAGCCAACCTGTAGGCCACCTCTCCAATTCTTTCGATGATCTCGTAAGGTCCCACATACCTCGAGCTCAAGTTTCCCTTAATACCAAATCTCCTCACACCCTTCGTTGGTAAGACCTTTAGTAAAACATGATCACCCACCTCAAAATGCCCATCTCTCCTAGCAAGGTCGGCATAGCTCTTCTGGTGATTTTGGGCATCTTTCATCTTAGCCTTGATGCTATGAATTTGATTCATCATCTCCTCAATCATTTCGGGCCCCAATACCACCCTTTTCGCTTAGGTCATTGCAAGACAACGGCGTCCTACACTTCCTCCCATACAAAGCCTCAAAGGGTGTCATCCCAATGGTCGTTTGATGGCAATTATTATAGACCTCCACCAAAGCCAATTGATCCTCCCATCGACCTTGAGAATCCAATGCACAAGCTCACAACATATCTTCCAAGATCTGAATAGTGCGCTCAGTCTGCCCATTGCTCATCGGATGAAAGGCTGTACTCATCCTTAACCGAGTACCGAATTCCTTTTAAAGCTTCTGCCAAAAATGTGACTGAAAACGAGGGTCACGGTCCGAGACAGTCACCTCTGGAACTCCATACCTCTTCACCACATATTAGATATAAAACATTTCCAACTTCTGCATGCTCCAAGTCATGCTTATCGGGATAAAAATTGTTGCCTTACTCAATCGATCAACAACCACCCAAGCCCGATCTTAACTTCCGTAATCCAGTCACAAAATCCATAGCAATCGAGTCCCACTTCTATTCCGGAACCTCCAAAAGTCTCAACAAACCCATAGGTCTCTTATGCTCCGCCTTGACCTTTTGACAATTCAAACATTTGGCGACATACTCCCCAATGTCTCTTTTCATACCGCGCCACCAAAAATATCATTTCAAATCTTCATACATTTTATCACAACCCGGATTCACGGAATACGGACAGCTATGAGCTTTTTTAAGTATCTTCTCTTTAATATCCAACCGATCCTTTGGTACACACCATCTGTCTTGAAATCTTAGACTTTCATCTTTACCAATATGGAATTCGCTTATTTCACCTTATTGCACCCTCGTCGCTAAGTCGAGTAAATCATCATCATCAACTTGAGCTTCTCGAATCTCCCTAAAAATCTCGGGCTCAACCAACAAGGCACTCATATATTCTTCAATCACCTTAGGACCCACTACCTCAATTTGTAGCTTCTCGAACTCATGACACAACTCCATAGGTAATGTCATCGAACATACGTCATGACTTGACTTCTAGCTCAAAGCATCAGCAACCACATTCGCTTTACTTTCATGATATAAAATCTCCTAGTCATAGTCCTTCACCAACTCCAATCATCTCCGTTGCCTTAGATTCAACTCCCTTTGAGTGAATATGTATTTCAAACTCTTATGATCGGTGTAAATCTTGCAATGAACTCCATAAAGATAATGTCGCCATATCTTGAGAGCAAACACGACAGCCGCCATTTCCAAGTCGTGAGTCAGATAGTTCTCTTCATGCGGCTTGAGTTGCCTCGAAGCATATGCTATCACCCTTCCATCTTGCATCAACACACACCCCAATCCTCGTCTTGATGCATCACATTACACATCGAACTCTCGTCCATCTATCGGCTATGCCAACACCGGTACAACCATCAACCTCCGTTTCAACTCTTTAAAAGCTTGCTCACATAAATCATTCCAAACTATTTTGACATTTTTCTTCAACAACGGTGTCAATGGTCTTGCCAATCGTGCAAAATCTTACACAAACCTCCGATAATTCCCAGCCAACCTCAAAAAGCTCATAATATCTGTCTGCATCTTTGGTCGGTGCCAATTTTCAATAGCACTCACCTTTGATGGGTCGACCGAAACACCATCCCTCGAAATAACATGCCCCAAAAATGCTTCTTCACTCAACCAAAATTCACACTTCGACAATTTATCATACAACTGATGCCCCCTCAATACCTGTAGCACTAACATGAGGTGATTTGTATGATCATCCTCGCTCGAAGAATACACCAATATATCATCAATGAAGACCACAACAAACTCATTCACCACTGGAATGCTCGAAAGCTGATATTCATCCCCCAAAATATCATGCACCTCGCACAAGGACAATGGGTGACCCTTACGAGTTAACTCATGCAAGGAGACAGCAGACACTATCTTAATCAATGGGCGATAAGGAATCTCCGCGTACACAACTTCTCCACCGCAAGGACTCTAAAGAAAGATCTTCCTCCCACCACAATCTATCCGGGCTTGATAGGTAGCCAACCAATCCATACCCAGAATGATATCGAACTCCGCCAATTTAAACTTCAAAAGATTAGTAGGAAATTCTATGTCTCCGATCATGACAGACACTCCTACAAAAAGACAATAACAAGACACTAGCTCTCTTGAAGGTAGCTTAATCTCTACCGAAACCTCTACTCAAGAATCTAATTCTAACTTCTTAGCACATCTACTCGATATGAAAGAAAGGGATGCACCGAAATCAAAGAGAATAACCACAGGTAAAGAATTCACGAAGAACGTACCAGTCAAGACGTCTCACTGGTTCTCCACAGCTTGCCCTTTCGTAATGACATTGATGTCACCTCTGTGGCCACTCTGTTCTCCTCCTCTCGTACGTTGAGGTGCCACTGACGGCATACGACATTGCTGCTGCGGAACCGGAGCCCTTTCAATCGCATTCAGAGTTCCAACTAACTTGGGACAAAACCTGTTGATATGTCCCGGCTCATAACAGTAGTAGCAAGAGACGGACTGGCTATCACAATGAACTCCCGGATGAGACTTCCCACATCGGTTACAAACAGTCAGAGACTACCATGATTGCCACTCGAATTCCCATGAGTGAATTTAAAACGAGATGCATAAGGTGCACCCGAAAACCTCTCTGATTGATCATTTTGTTGATGGTTCTTCAACCCCTCATTCACCATTCATTTTTTTCTATTTGTCCTACGGATTCCATCTCTCCGCTCATCATACCATATCTGATTTGTCTGATAGATGTTAGCCGCCATCTCATATGCCTCCTAAAGGGTCGTCACACTGAAGTCGGCCAATAACCGTTGAAGGTCTCGGTTTAGCTCACCAACAAACCTCGTCAACTTGCATCGATCATTCTCCACCAAATCCGGAGCATAGGCAGCCAACTCGTTAAAACGCGTGAAGTGCTCCTCCACCGTCATATTACCTTGTACCAAGACACTAAACTCATCATTCTTTCCTCTCTGGAGGTGTGGGGGATACAAATGCGCCCTTATCATTCCCTTAAAGACCTCCCACGGTAATCCAACCAATTTGCTCCCGGAAGCTTTCTCATTATTCCATCACTTCTTGGCCAATCCTTCCAAGTAATACGCGACTATCATAGTCTTCTCTCATTCTGGGCATCTCACCACCTCAAATATCGTCTCCAAACGATCCAACCATTCTCCAAAAATAGTCGGGTCCGATTGACCAGTGAAAGTCTGAGGACTATGACGTAACACTACATCCATAACACTCCGGGGCTGCTGAGCGAACTGTGCCATAAACTAACGAAAGATCTTCAATGTCAGGTTTGAAGGTCGAACAGGATTCTGAACTGGAGGCTCGGGTTTTGGGATTTTCTGCTCTCAACCTCTTATTTGGACTCAGGTGCCACAAGAAGCTGACGAGAACACCTCAAGGTCATTTGCTAATCAAGAGTAGACCTAATAAGTTCTGACTAATCAAATAGCATAACCAATGCACATAAACACACAGAATAAACATAAAATGTAATGCATGCCATGAATGCACCCAAACCCGACTAAACCGATGATCTAATTGATTTTCAAAATTCTGAAATCTTCAAGTTTTATTAACCAAGAAGCATGAGCCTTAAACCGAGGATCTGATACCAACTATAACACCCCAGTGGCTCAAACCGGAGTGTCACCGCCACGCCACACCGGAAGGCTCATTCATCAAGCAACAAGCCCGACGTTGGTGGCGCTAAGGCTAAAATAACCGTTACAAGCAACTAATTAGATATTTAAAATTAAAGGGCACCAGCTTATCATTTAAATAAATAAAGTTCGAGTCAAAAGCATAAGTTGGAAATTAGCTCCAAAGAAATTAGTTCTTAAACATTAATAATGGATTTCAAAAGTATTCTAGAAGATAAAGTAGTTATAATTCTCCTGATGGATCATATGACATGGATGCATTATTTAGGTATAACGGAAGCACCATCACCTACAAAACGTTTGTAGAAAGATGATCAACACGACGGTTGAGTAAGCGCAATTAACCAAAGATATATTAATACGGTATAAGTCATGATTTATGTGTAAATGCCACAAAATCATTTGAAGAAGATAATTTGAATAAAATGTCACATAAAGATAACTCACACACATACAAGTCTTTTAGCGCATCCTTTATATCTCATTTTTATTCTCAAATAATGGTAATGAACACATCACGAAGAACTCCACTAGGCCTTAATTAGGTCCGGCTCGACCCGGTTTTCCAACTTTATTACTTCGTATAACACGTCACATGATTACCCATAACATACATAGGGTCACAACCGTCAAGAAAAGCTCCACAATATGTACCGTAAGTCAATTTATTTATCGTGAATGACGGACACCTCGCAATCATCCAAAAAGGTAACCCGTCATCTCGATCCCTCGGCCTAGGCCATTTGGATTCTAGTTCGAGTTAGCTAGTTATCCTAAAATACTGGTATACTCTCACGTGTTTGCAGGGGACAGGGGTGGAAGGCTTTGTCTTATCATCCAAACAATCGATGAGTTGATCAGACTCAACGGGTAGTTTCAATTAACAATTTGACCCAATACTCAACATGCTATTAGACAAATTTTAAAAAGAGCTTTCAACTCAAAACATTCTAATTGCCAACATTTAACCAAAAAATATCTAGAGTATTAAAAAAATCTAACTTGTTTAATAAAATATCACTTTATTTCGCCAAATAAACATTTGGACAATACGTCCATCCAAATAGGCATAATCTAACTACAAAAATCATAATATTTAAGATAATCACACGTAAACTAGGTTATGGCAAAATTATGGTTTCTAACCCATTTAAAAAATCATTCATTTTCCTACTTAAATTACCGCAAATATTTTCTTATAAACCCTAAATATCATCCTAATAAACTTCCTAAAGGAAACATGGGAAAATCCAAGATTTTAGAACAAACCTATTTAAAAATAATTTCAAAAAAACCATCAAGGATCAAAAAATAGGTTTAGAAACTATAACATATCGATTATTTAAGATTAATCCCACTTACCTTAGAGGAAGATTTTTTGAGAAGAAAATCTTCAAGGAAGAACAAGAAGATCCCGGGCAGGGGTTAGCTGCAAGGAGTTGTCTCTCTATTTTTTTTATTTTTTATTTTTTTTAATAAACATAATAGGCTTTGACCTTTTTAAATCCTTGGGTCCAAAATTGGTCAAATCAAAACTCTTTCACTATAGCACTTAAATTATATCATTTAACTCCTAAAATAAAAATATCACATAAGTTCAAAATAAATTAAGCCCAAAATGAAATTTGTTCTACTCCGACAAGTTTCGACGAACTTCAAGAGATTATTTTTACGGGATATTACACACAACAAATAAATAGATAACATATAATTTATGTTAATATAATACAAGACATAACACATGAACTAATAACTAATGACAATAAGTAGATCTCATCGCTTGTATTTTAAATTAGCACAACACAGATATATATAACATAATACAATATATGAACTACCAGTAACTGTAGTACATGTCCCATTTGATATCATCCCATACATCACATGTTAGCACATTACAAACAAAAAACATAATCAATGTTAGTACAAACTAACGACATGAAAATAGTTGAAGCAACAATCACTATATCCCTATGTTAATATGGCACACAATATATAATATGTAATTAACAGCGCTGTTGTGAATTTATATACCGAATCTTTTGGATATATCAAACAATACCTAGTATACAAAAATACGAAAAAGAAATTAGCGGAAGCGAAATTCGAATAAAATCAAATCATTATCATGCTAGGAATTCAACAAACACACCTACTAATGAGCTTGCTAATATGACAACTCATGAATGTCTTGGATCTTGTCATTTTTAACCAAGATTGACAGCTAGTTTCTCCAATAACCAAACAAGGATCTCGCGAAAACTTAAAAGCCAAACTTTTTATTATTATTATTGTTATTGGAGTTACGGTTCTTATGACGACAATTCCTAATGAGCACAATGCAAGTTATAATGATATACACAGTAAAAATTTATGTTCTAACATAGTTGTTCTGTTCACTAATCATTACAATAAATGACAGGAAAATTAGGTTTAGAATTACCATGGATGTTACAGTGGAGGCGCCGTACATCAAAGAGGTGGTGGCGAACCATGGCTTGCCGGCGGCGATGGCATAAACAGAGAGAAGTGCAAGAGGCCACTGGAAGAGGAGTTCCAGCCAAACAAGCCCTACGAAGAAATGCGGCTTCTCGGAGACCAAATAGTCGCCATACTCATGGGCGTACCACCTCTTGAGCTCCACCACAAATGGCGGAAAGTAATCCACCGGAAGGCACGTTTGGCCGTCGATTAATGGGGCCACCACCGCCACCACCGCGAAGAACACCAACAGTGCCGCGTCCACAACCTTGCACAAAGCCCCCATCTTCCTTCGATCCGATCCAGAATTCCTTCGCTATTGCTCTGAATCTGAATCTGAATCTGAATCTGATTTTGATTTTGACACCGAAAAAAGGGATCTATCAATCGAACTTACCGTTCAGTTACCATTAATATCCATTAACTAATAATAATAATAATAATAGAAAGAATTAATATTAGTCACAGTATCAAAATTATTCATTCAATTCAATACAATTCTGTTGTTTACAATTTTGGTGCGTTTTAAAACGATAGTTTCGTTTTCACAAATAACTGTATCATCGTAAAATTATACATATTTTTTTATTATTATTACATAATTGTCACTACTAAAACAATAGTCTCATTTTTACAAATAACTATATCATCATAAAATTATCCATATTTTTTTATTATTATTACACAATTGTCACTACTTTTTACACTAGAGCAAAAAAATCATTTATCTTTACTTTTTACCGATTACTAATATAATATTAATATTTCTTAAATATAGTATATCCAACACAACAAGACTGTAGTTTTGAGATAGAGAGTGTTATTTTTGGAGAAACTTTGCTAAACAAATATACGTGAATTATATGGCAAGACTGGAAGGGTGTTATGCAAAGTAAGGTCTGGGAATGAATTTTGTTTGATAATCTTGAATTTTTTCTGCTGCTACAGCGGAATTGGTTTTCAGGTCCAATCCCAATCCCAAACCCTGGATCAGAAATATTCCCGTTGTTGGAGAAGGCAAAATCTGCAGTTCCACATGAGGAGGGCGGGGGTAGAGATTTTGTACATGGCCATGTAATTTGATTTGTCCTAGTGCCGATTATGTGTGTCTAGATCAATTATCACATTATTTCGTTACGTAACTTATCAACAGTGTAACTAATATGGATTAAAATTTTTTATAATAAAATTAAAATTAATGAATTGTTTTATATTGAAATCAAAATGATAAATTTTATTTATATTGAACCTAGTATTAATTTATTTTCCTAATAATAATAATAATAATATTATAATAATGTTTAACTAGCCAAAAAATTATACGTACAGTTAAATAAAAATAAATTTATTGTCGTGATACATAATTTTATATGTATATTTATATATATATATATAATTTTTATTGATCAATAATAATAATAATATTAATAATAGTTATTTGATATTATTTCTGTCCGGTTCTAAGAGTTTTATTTATTTTTTGCGTGTTAATATTTCAATTTAATTATTATATGAAAATATGGTACAAAATAAGGGAAATGACAAAAATGTTTCTATTAGTACTATTATAATAATATTTGTGCAAAAAATTATGTAAATATAAGGATATTTTTAATGTTAAGTACAATGACACAAAAAATAAATGTGACCCTTAGAGTCCGAAAGTATTATTTTTAATATTTTCAAATGACCCTTAGAGTCCGAAAGTATTATTTTTAATATTTTCAATTTAATGTTTTATTATCACATGATTTTAAAATATGATTTGGGTGTTTTTTTTTTTACACCAAATCCCATTTTTCTACTATTTGGATATTGTATTTTTTAAAATATATATTTTTTACAAAATATTTTATCATATATTATTTTAATATCAAATTCAAACAAAAAATTTTCAAATTTCATTGAAAGAAACACAGTACAAAAAAAAAAAAAAAAAATAGGGATGGATAGGAGTGGGCAAAGTATCCGAACCGAACCTCCGAACCGAATCAAACCGAATTTCCGATTAACCAAGCAAATTCAGTTCGAATACAAATACTGTATATTTGGTATTTGTTCGGTTCGATTCGATTTCGATTTCTAATATATTTTTTTTCAGTTCGGTTAACTTAACCGAATAATTTTATAATAAATTAATTATGTTATATTATATATTTATAATTTATTTATATAAATTATAATTAATAATATACATTATCGCCAGTCCCCCGGTTCAAACCCAGTGCAAACCGCCAAACTCCATTTCTCAAATCTCAAGCGCCACAACCCTAATTTCTCCATCTACCTCCCGGACGTCGGCGGTACTTCACCAGTTCACCCTCTTGCGATTTTTCAGCCCATCAATGGCGGCTTCATCTTGTTTCTGCGATTTTTCATCCCACCTCCCAGCGCGGCTTCACCCCTTCTTCTGCAGTTTGTGTACAACTATCCGGACAATCGTTTTCAACTCTTCACGCACAATACAACTGCACAATCTTTCGGATAACAACTACAAATCGTCGATTCAAGATTATAAAATATTTTTCATTTTATTTTTTTCCATTTTATTTACATTGTGCAGAGATTTTTATTATTTTTTTTAGAACAATAACCGTTTTTTTCTTATTAAATTTTTTTTTCCAAAATATGAATGTAATTTTGCAGATTTTATGTTTTTTTTTAATAATTAAAATGCTAACTTATTTATTTTGAATCCAAAATTGGTAATGAATGTTTATGGAAGCGTATCTATTGTTCATATTTTTTTCTCTTATTTCTTACAAAATATTATTTTTTATATATACAGGTTTAATGGAATCAATGAGTTAAAAAACTAACGGGTATCCTATGGAATCTTCTATGCCAGAAACACAATCTTAACCAGAATCAAAGAATTTTCAAACTCAAACTCAACCCGCAGGTAATTGTCCTGCTCCTAAAGTACCTAAGTCTTGATCTGTTGCTTGAGATAATTTTAGAAAGACTGAATATGGAGATAAGGCAAAATGCAATCATTGTTCTACATTGATTACGTGCAAATCTAAGTTATGCACAAGTATAATGCTATGTTGAATCATTTGAAAAGGTGCAAGACAATTCAGAATGAGGTTGAGGATGATGGACATATGGGTAAAAAGTTGAAACAAACAACAATGCATTATCAACCGAAAAAAAAGAATGAATGTGTTGGTGTTAATTCTTTTTTGTCATTTGATCAACAATAATGTCGTAAAGCTCTTGCTAAATGGATTATTGTTGATGAGATGTCATTTAGAATTGTAGAATCATAAAGATTTCTTGATTGCATGAGTGCCATTCAACCTCGATTAGAAATTCTGTCCTGAAGAACACTTATTAGAAATTGAATTAAGATTTTTGAATATGAGAAGTCAAAGTTAGAGACCTTTATCAAGAATTACGAGGGTAGTGTTTGTCTGACCACAGATATTTGGGCATCTTGCCAAAATCTGAGTTATATGTCATTAACTGCTCATTTTATTGATGATGATTGGAATTTACACAAAAAATTTTTAAACTTCTCACTAATTCTTGGTGATTAGGGTTATGCGATTGGAAAGAAAGTTAAGGATTGTTTGGTGTCTTGGAAAATTAAAAATATTTTTACTATAATGGTTAACAATGCGAGTGCAAATAATATTGGTTTAAGATATCTAAAAGATAGGTTGAAGAAATGGGGAGGGGTAACTTTAGATGAAAAGTTTTTACATATGAGATACGGTGCACATATTATGAATCTTATTGTTAAGGATTGATTGAATAAAATAAAGGGTTCAATTGAGCGAATCCGGTCTGCTATTCTTTATGTGAGGTAATCTTCAAATCGTACACAAACATTCAAAAATTGATGGAAAATTAAAGATTGAATACGAATACTATTGCTTCATTGGATGTCGATACAAGATGGAATTCAACATATAAAATGTTGGATTCTGCCTTAAGAGTGAAAGATGAGTTTGATTTTTTGGAGTGCGAAGATGACAAATTTAAGGATGAGTTGAAAAAGAACGACAAAGTGCCACCTACAGAGGATGATTGGTCTTATGCGTGTGGATTTCTACCATTTTTGAAATATTTTCATGATACAATTATTAGAATCTATGGCTCTAAGTATGCAACTGGGAATTTATATATGAAAGAAATTTTTCGTGTTGCATATAATATTCAATCAATTGTGAAAGATCTGGATTCATTAGTTATATCAATGGTTACCAAGATGTCTGGAAAGTTTTTAAAATATTGGGGAGATTGGTAAAATATTAATCCAATAATTTATCTTGCAACCATCCTTGATCCGCTCCATAAAATGCGTTGGGTGAATTTTATGATAAATCGCGTGTATGCAGAGAGTGAAGCAAAAGAATTGCTTCGATCAATTCAGGATGTTTTGAGAATGATGTTTGATGAGTATAATTCCACTTCAATATCTAACATTGAAGTGGACCCTTCTAGCATGGCTTGCTGTAGTGGTACACCAAATTTTTTCCAAATTGATGACTTTGAGAAAAGATTGCAGAAAGAGTTGGAGGAATTTAAGTACTTGGATGACGAATGTGAAAAGATGACCCAATCGAATTTTGATATCTTGTATTGGTGGAAAACAACGGGTTCAAAATATACGACCCTTTCTCGTATGGCAAGAGATGTATTGGCCATTCCAGTATCTACGGTTGCTTCAGAGTCAGCTTTCAGCATGGGAGGTCGTGTTATTGATCATTTTCGGAGTTCTCTTACCCCAAAGTTGGTTGAAGCACTCATATGTACACAAGATTGGATTCGAAGAGGTAATCCAAAAATTGTGGATAAAAATGAGCATGAAATTTTGAAAAAAATCGAAGCAAGTATTTTATTTAATTTTATATACTTAGTTAAATTTTCAATTTAAATGTAAAATATATGTTTTTGATTGTTTATTAATTTTTTGTTTACAGCATGAGAATGACATAGTTTGGATTTACATAAATAATATGAGGTAAACTTTCTTTCAGTATCAGTATTTTTTTATTATAAATTGTTTCTTTTGTCTTGTATTTTTTCAATTTTTCTGTACAGTAAAAAAAAATATTATGACTCTTGAAAATTCACTTTTAATTTTAATTTACATGTTGCTTCCATTACAAATTGCTTTTGTTACCAATTCCAAAAAATTTAGAATCTTGAGCTTTCAACATTTTGTGGTAAATAAATTTATTATTTCTACTTGTAGCTTTCTTTTTTTTTGTTTTATTGATTTTTTTAAAAAATATTATACTATTATTTTATTTTTCAGGAATTCAGGTGTTTGTGGTAAATAAATTTTATTATACTATAATTGCAGTGTATTATTATTGATTTTAATTTTATTGATTTTTTCTAAAAAAATTATTTTATTATCTTATTTTTAGGAATTCGACG